TGTTTGGCGCCGCAAGCCTGGGAGGGGAGGAGAATTAGAGTGGGGGCAGCGTGCTTAGGGAGGAGGCGGAGCAGAGGCGAGCTGGGGTGGGGAGCTGCCGCGGGGGGAGCTGCCGTGGGGGGGGGGCACAAGGTGGAAGTTTCGCCTAGTGCACGAAACTTCCTTGCACCGGCCCTGCTTGGCGCTGTACATACAGAGCGAGAGACGCGCTGGCTTAAGAGTCCCTGCCCCAAGGCGCTTACAGTCTAACCACACAGGGATGGTCACTTCCAGCTGAGGGACAGTGAGGCCCAGAGTGACTAAGTGACTTGCCCAAGGGCTCCGAGAGGCTGTGGCGGAGTCAGGATGTGACCCCATCTCCAGTCCCAGCCTCGCGCCCCTCAAGAAGGGCGCTTCCTCTAAGCCAAGGCATTTGGGGAGGGAGGGACGAGGAAGGGGGAAGAGACACACTCAGACTCTAGGTTCTGGAAGCTCAGCTTAGTCCAGGGGTTGGCAACCTTTGGCACACGGCTCGCCAGGGTAAGCCCCCTGGCGGGCCGGGCCAGTTTGTTTACCTGCCGCGTCCACAGGTTCGGCTGATCGCGGCTCCCACTGGCCACAGTTCTCGGCTCCAAGCCAATGGGGGCTGCGGGAAGCGGCGCTGGCCGAGGGATGCGATGGCCGCCGCTTCCAGCGTGTGCCAAAGGTTGCCGATCCCTGGTTTAGTTCTTACCTGGAGGAGCAGGTAAGGCACCGCGGAGAAAGCCTCAGTCATTCGCCAGTCCCCAGGGATGAGTTGTTGGAGTAGCTAACCCTCCACCTGCCAGAATCTCATTTTTCATGCAGATGCCGTTGCTGGTCCCAGCAGGGGGAGAGAATCAGCAGCTACAGACCAGCCCATGGCCAAAGCTTGGCCCTTGGTGCCTTGTTTTAAATCAAGTTTTGCTGGAAACGCGTGGCCTGGCGGCCTGCAGGTTAAGGGGTCGTGTCCCCCTCGGAAGGACGCTGCCGCAGACACAAGAGCAGGGCGGGTCCTTAAGACAAGGTCAAGATTTATTTCAGAACAAGAGACTTTGACAAGCGTGAGCCCCTCAGACACCGCGCGTGGCTAGAGCCCAGCTGGGCCCTCTCCCTTATGCCAGGGTCAGACACAGCGCCCCTTGCCTCCCTAGCGATCCCAGGAGAGCTGCCCCACACGCAGGGCACAGCTGGACTCGGAGGGGTTGAGACCTCCACCCCTCCACCAGAGGCTGGGCAGCAGGCCCCAAGGTCTGGATCGAGACCCCTCCCCAGCTAACACCCCCCAGCCAAGCACCTTCTCTTCCGTCAGTGGCGCCCGGATCGACCACTCAGCGTAGCTGTGATGTGTGGGGCCTTGCAGGGGGACAGCACCCCAGCCTCCTTCAGTCTTCCATCCCCAGCCACCAGCCCTCCCGACCCATCTCTGAGCAGTGGCCCCCTGCAGTTCTCCAGCCAGGCACTTCCTGCCCAGCTGGGCCAACAAACATCCCCCAGGATCTGCTAATTGCCCAGCTGGTGGGGAGATGCAGACGACACCTCTCGCTTCCCGGCCCTGCGGGGGCTGAGGGGCACCGACACCCGGCCGAGCTGGGGGGGGAGATCAGCTTGGAGAGCCAGCCCCCACTAAGGCCAGCAGGGCCGAGGCCAGGCAGGAGACATCAGACAGGTGGCTCGTACCCTCAGCTGCTCCTCCCGGGAGCCCCATTTAGAACCACAGCTAATGAAAATCCCCCAACCACCACCCCGAAGTGCAGAGAGCTGGACCCACGCGTCAGGTCTCGGTGCTTCTGGAGCAAGCCCCCTGGAGTGGGCCTGCTCCAGAGCCCCCCTGTCCTGGATCAATCCAGGCCGGGAACATGGCCGGGGCTTTTTGCATAGCTGCCTCTGGGGTTAGTGCCAATAGCACCAACCCACACCATGGCCCCATGCAGACCAGGACCCAAGACACTGCTTGGGCCAGCCAGCAGGGCCTCCGTGGGAATCACCCCCCTCCCACCGCTCTTCCCCCGCCCCCCCCCCCGCAATTCCAAATGAGCCTGAGTTGGGGGGGGGAACCTACAAGCGCCGTTTGCAAAAATAAACCAAAGGGAAAGGGGACGTTCAGTGACCGAAGCGCGAATATCCTGCCAGGCAGCTATATCAATGGAGAGACCAGCTCTCCCCGAGCCCCCTCCGCAGGATCGTGTCCTCTGCAATAGGCACATGGAGGGGACACCCCTCCCCCCAAAGAGGCAGAGGGCAGCAGCCTCCCCTTGGCTGGGCGATTTGGGGAGCTTTTGGCTTCTCAAGGGCTGTTACAGTCAGATCAAAGAGCCCGTGTAACACAAGAACCGGAGATTTCATGGAGAAGCCCGGAACTCGCTTGACAGACACAAGCACTTAGTACTTGCTACCATCTCGTGTTTCCCACTGGCTCCCCCACAGGGCGAGGGCCAGAGCCCGGCTTCTGGCTCAGACCCCGGGCTGGTTTCCAAAGGGTTTCTTGGCAAAGGGTCTCATCCCCCAGAACACTCTACTGGCCTGACGCACGTCAAGGCTCGGCGCTCCTTGGGCACCTAGCTGGGAATCGGTACTCCCCTCACCGGGGCCTGTCGGGGGACCCCACTTGGGCAGATCCCCCAGAAACACACCAGCACACAGAGATCGGCTCCCGACCCCAGCCCTGCCTTGCTTCTAGGAGCGTATGGCTTTCAGAGAGAGCAGCTTGCCACCCTGTGCACCGCCTCTCCCCGCCCCACCGCTGAGTCTGGTGCAGCAGGTCCCCTAGCCGAGCTCCCAGGCCCGTGAAGAACAGCTGGCCCCGGACAGGGCTCCAAAGAGGTGAGGGGCTGCAGACCCCCTTGTGCAGCTCGCGGGAGGTCGTCCTCTGGGAGAGCAGCCAGGGACGGGAAGAGGAAAGGCCAAGCATGGAGTCCAGCTGGCCTGGGCCCCGGTGAGCGAGTCAGAGACCATCGCAGGCATCTCTCAGGGCTTTGATCACACCCGCAGGCCGAGGGGACGCCTGGCTGGTTATCAGCGAGATCCACTCCTGCCTCTGGGCCCTAGGAGAGGTCAGACAGAAGAGGGGTCACACGCCAAGCCCCCGTAATCCACACCCCTAGGGCTGGGCATTCCTACTGTCTCCCTCCCCTAGCGCCATCCTCCTCTTCCTCCTGCCTGTGGCCCACTCAGACCCCACCACACCTCCCACCACCAGTTCATGGCCCCTGAGATCTCACAAGAGGGGGCTGGGGGTGGGACATTTGTGGGGTCTGTCAGAGCTGGATGCACTGGCCTCAGGACACACTGCAGGGCTCCTGTTTTCCCAGGTACCCCCAGGGGATGGAGGGCCTGGGTTGGCAGGTCCTTGCCACGGTCCCCACCTGTGCGCTCTGGCTGCGTGTTTCCCTCACGCTGCACCTAGGGCGGCAGGTACGTACCTTCCTCCCCACCAAGCCGGCTGCTCCCAGCCCCCCCCCCCACACCCAGAGCCGTCTCGCCAGGGAGAGGGTCTGCGAGCCCTTGCACCTTCCCCTCGAGGCCTCCACCAAGATCCCCAAAGCGGCACGTGGAGAAACCAGGCTACGACACTCCCCAGATGTTCAGTTGCTAGCAACTTACGGCTTGGCACATCTCCTGCCGAACCCCCTTCCTACCCAATGGTGCCCTCTTGGCAAGCCCAGCACGGCTTTGGGTCTGCAGCAGCCCCACACGGCCACCCGAAGCCAGCCAAGGAACCCACCTCCCAGCCCGCCACCCACAGCCAGTCTCCCCGAGTGGGAGCACTGCACTCACTCGCTGGCTGCTTTGATGATGAATTCGGCGCTGGCCCCGCGGTGGTTGTGGGAGAGGCACAGGAGGAAGGCCGTGTCGGGGAGCCCCAGTGGCTTGGCTCTGAGGAGCTCCGCTCTGACGTGGCAGGTCTGGGCGTAATCCTTGACGGAAAACCTGCCGTCGCTGCGGGGGAAGCATGAGGGGTGGGGTTCGTGGGGTGGAGCCGGGAGACGGAGTCCGTCCCCCGCCCCCGAACGCCCAGCTCCTGGCTTCCCGCAATAGGCCACGAGATCCTGTACCCACAGACGGGGCATCCCCACCTGGGACTTCCAGCTTTCCCCCTCGAGAGAGCTTTGAGCAGGGGGTGGACTAGATACCTCCTGAGGTCCCTTCCAACCCTGATATTCTAGGATTCTAGGATATGGGGGCACTGCCACCATACCCATCCCACCCCGCCCCACTGCCCGCTCCTTCTCCTAGGGCTGGAGACAATGCACCCCCCCGATGGCTCTCCCTGCCAGCCGGATCCAGCAGGACACTGGAGGGGAATGGCAGGCAGGCACCCTGCCACGCGGTGGGCACGGGAGCAGCAGGTTGATGCACCCCCCACCCGGGAGGTTTCGGTGCCTTGGCCAGGGCAGCAAGGCCCCCAGGGTGCAGAGGGGAGAGCCCGGGCGCCCCACAGACTTACTCCCTCCGGCGGGACAACAGCAGCAGGTCGCTGAGGAGGTGCAGGTGGATGGGCTTGGTGCTCAGGCGGGGTCTGTACCCCACACTCACCTCCTGGATGAGGACCTGGGAGAACTCCCCCGCCCTGACCAGCCAGCGGCCCCGGCTGATGAGCGGGATGGACTGGGGGGGAGAGAGACATAGATCACCTGGCGCAGAGACCGTCACCGCGCTGCCTTGAGGGGCAGGATCGGTGCCGGCCTGAGCCATGCACCAGCGCCCCCTATTGGATCCCTGCAGGGCACCGCCTGCAACCCACCCAGGTCCAGGCTGGGAGGCAGGAGGTCCCACAGGGCGCTCAGCTCCGAGAGGTGTGATCATGGCACTGCAACTCACCGGATTGCACACATCACTCTAGTCTCCCCCCCCCCCC